AAAGGATGTCTTCAAGGAGAACTACAAACCACTGCTCAATGAAATAAGAGAGGACACAGACAGATGGAGAAACATTCCATGTTCATGGTTAGGAAGAGTCAATATCGTGAAAATGGCCATACTGCCCAAAGTAATTTACAGACTCAATGCTATCCCTGTCAAGCTACCAATGACCTTCTTCACAGAACTGAAAAAAGACACCTTAAACTTCATATGGAACCAAAAGAGAGCCCACATAGCCAAGTCAATTCTAAGCAAAAAGAACACAGCAGGAGTCGTCACACTACCAGACTTCAAACTATACTACAAGGTTACAGTAATCAAAACAGCATGGTACTGGTACCAAAACAGAGACATAGACTAATGGAACAGAACAGAGGCATCAGAGGCAACACAGCATATCTACTTACATACAATCTTTGATAAACCTGACCAAAACAAGCAATGGGAAAAGGATTCCCTGTTTAAAAAATGGTGTTGGGAAAACTGGCTAGCCATGTGCAGTAAGCAGAAACTGGACCCCTTCCTGACACCTTACACTAAAATTAACTCCAGATGGATCAAACACTTAAACATAAGACCTAACACCATTAAAACCCTAGAAGAAAATCTAGGCAAAACCATTCAGGACATAGGAGTAGGCAAGTACTTCATGACAAAAACACCAAAAGCATTGGCAACAAAAGCCAAAATAGACAAATGGGACCTAATCAAACTCCACAGCTTCTGCATGGCAAAAGAAACAGTCATTAGAGTGAATCGGCAACCAACAGAATGGGAAAAAATTTTTGCAGTTTACCCATCTGACAAAGGGCTGATATCCAGAATTTACAAAGAACTCAAACAGATTGACAGGAAAAAAACAAGCCCATTCAAAAATGGGCAAAGGATATGAACAGACACTTTACAAAAGAAGACATACATGAGGCCAACAAACATATGAAAAAATGCTCATCACTGGTGATTAGAGAAATGTAAATCAAAACCACATTGAGATACCATCTCACTCCAGTTAGAATGGTGATCATTAAAAAATCTGGAGACAGCAGATGCTAGAGAGGATGTGGAGAAATAGGAACACTTTTACACTGCTGGTGGGAGGTAAATTAGTTCAACCACGGTGGAAGACAGTGTGGCAATTCCTCAAGGACCTAGAAATAGAAATTCCATTTGACCCAGCAATCCCATTACTGGGTATATATCCAAAGGACTATAAATCATTCTAATATAAGGACACATGCACACGAATGTTCATTGCAGCACTGTTTACAATAGCAAAGACCTGGAACCAACCCAAATGCTTATTGATGATAGACTGGACTGGGAAAATGTTGCACATATACATGATGGAATATTATGCAGCCATCAAAAACAATGAGTTCGTGTCCTTTGTAGGGACATGGATGAATCTGGAATCATCATTCTCAGCAAACTGGCACAAGAACAGAAAATGAAATACCTCATGTTCTCACTCATAGGCAGGTGATGAACAATGAGAACACATGGACACAGGGAGGGGAGCACTACACACCAGGGTCTATTGGGGGGAATAGGGGAGGGACAGCGGGGGCTGGGAGCTGGGGAGGGATAGCATGGGGAGAAATGCCAGATGTGGGTGAAGGGGAGGAAGGCAGCAAATCACACTGCCACGTGTGTACCTATGCAACTATCTTGCATGTTCTGCACATGTACCCCCAAACCTAAAATGCAATAAAAAAAAATAAAATAAAATAAAAATAATGAAAAAGAAAAAAAGAAAACCTAGAAGTACAAATAGATAGATTAATAACAAGGAATCTTTCCTAGAATCGTTTTTTACTCTTGTGGGTGCAGGATGTCTAACCCAAAGCCACACCTATCTGACTTCCACATAGTTCCCAGATACCCCACTGTACCCAGCATAAGACCCTGTAGCATTGCCCCCAGCCATCTACCCATACACACCGCCTAAAAAACTGTCCATCAGAATCCTTTTCTCTCAGCCTCTGCTGCCTCTAGGTCTGACACAAGTACAAGAACAGGGAACTCACATATCTGTCTCATTAGTTGTTTTCTAAGCTAGTTCAAGGATGAGTTGACTATATTTTACATCCACTAGAAGAATGTCCCAGATACATTTTAAGTGGAGATTTCAAGTCATTATGAGATGTAGAACATGAACTCATTTTCGTATGAGCAAAGATAATGACATTAGCAGTATTAATTAGTTGCAGCAGTAACAATACAATGCTTACCAGGTTCCCGCATTATTACAAGTGATTATGTAACTAATGCCGACAATAAACCTATGAGGTATTTACTATCACTATCCCCATTTCATGGACGGGCAAAACAAGAATCCTAAAATACTACTGCCCAGAGAATTCGTTATTAGAATTAGTAATTTGTTCAAAGTCACACAGGTGGTAAGTGGTGGTGAATCTAGGATTCAAATCCAGGAAACCCAATGATTGAGTCCATACTTGTAAGCACCAAGAATATCCAAGCACCTGTTATATACCAGGCTTTTATATGCACTGAAAATCCACAGAGGCCATGTTTCAACATAACAACATTGATTACATCAGGAAGGGAAGAGGTGAACAGTTTTTTCTGTCTTAATACAAATCTGCATCCTTTGAATTGTTGTATATATTGCTACTACAATGAGAAACAACACTGAGTTAATATAAATTCAGGCAAGCAGTTAAACACACATTAAAAGAGTAGGTACAGTATATACACGAAGTAGACTGATCAACTGATCCTAGCTCACTGGTCCTAAAAGGTCTTCCTTCATCTCTGATCAGGTTGTACATCTGCATCTGCCCACATATAAATTTGATTTCCTCCTCTATGGGGGTTCCTTGAACTCTGCAGCTGGTTGTGTCCCCACTTTAACCAGCTATCAGTGACTCCATCACTTGACTTTTGAACCAAATGCCCCCTCTTTATGCCTGAATCCATGTTTGTTCTCCAGGCTTGGTGAGCTCAGATGAATAAAACCTGGGAGAAATGTCCTTTTCTTTCTCTCCCTAACCCTCCTATGGTTCCTGCTTTCTTTCCCCTGGGCCCACCTCTGGCCCCTTTTAGCTTGCTGGAACCAAAGTCACCTCCAAAGCAGAAGGTATTCAAGGTATAACCTGTAACTCAGAGAGACAGCAGAGCTTTCACTCCCACTACAAAGCAGCGCCATGGCTCCACTTTCCCTTTGAGAGACGTGTGAAAAGGCAGGTAGAAGGTGGGCCAAGCTGGATGCTGTACCACCCATATCCCGTATGGTGTGTGATTTCAAATCCTGAAACTAGAGTAAGTGTCTGAGGCCAGAGTATACATTTTATTCTTTGGATGAACAGACAATCCATGTCTGGAATGATTAAATGACAGATGAGGTATAAGGGTAAACTCAGAATCACTTTTTTCAGCAAATAGCTAGCTGACCTTGAAAACTGGTTTGTATCACAGACATTCAATTCTATGGGTCTTCTCTCCTTGGTGCTGTTTCTCGTCCCCCTACCCCGTCACCCTCCCCCCACCATGACTCTTCTGTTTTTCTTTATACATCCAGTATTTTTTGAAGACATTGGGCTAGTTCAACCCCTTCTTTTGAATTCTGTCCTAGAAATTCCCAGCTCAGTCTTATTTATTTTTCACTTGGATTGTTTAATTCATACATCTGTGAGAATATGTAATACACATGGAGGGATATAGATGGTAAAATAATAAAACAATCTGAAAAATTAAACAAGCGTCCATATACCTACCACTCAGCTTTAAAAATAGACCTTTACCACCATCTTTGAAGGCCCCGCTGTGAGTCTCTCTGTTCAGCGCCTCCGTCATCCCCATAGGAGTAAGCAGGATTGGAGACTTTCCTTCTTCTATTCCTCTATTTCTACCTTACCCAACTGCCTTCTTAATTCTCAAGTTCGCCGGAGGCTCTGTCTTTCTCTCACTCCCATTCGCTCACTTCTCTCCTAGGTGACTCAAGACGACGACATAATTGAGGAGCACTAGCCCAGGAGTGAGAAGACCTGGGTATTATTATCTTTTCAAACGTGGGTGCTGCCTCCCCGCCAGCTGTTGATCTGTGTGCCTCAGGGAGTGTTCTATAAAATGCAGTGTGTGAGAAGGGATATTCTAAACTCCCAGGGGCTGTCAGCAGTTAGCTTGGAGTCTGGTGGGGCTCCTCTCTCTCCTCCCAGGCCCAGAGCCAGTATGCAAAGAGCACATCCGTGACGTCTAGAGGGGGAGGGGGCTGGGGACTAGGGGGTGGCTGGCAGGGAGGAGGGGAGCTCCTCCCCGCACACGTATACACACACACACACACACACACACACACAAGCACGCGCGCGCACACACACGAATGCGAGGGGAGCTCCTCCGCGCTTGCGTAAAAACACACGCGGGCGCGCGCACGAATGCAAGGGGAGCTCCTCCGCGCGCGTACACACACACACACTCACACACACGCACGAGAGGGGAGCTCCTCCGAGCGCGCGCGCGTGCACACACACACACACACACACACACACACACACGAATGCTTACTCTAGAATCTAGGGGCTGGTACCAGTGGGAGACAGATCTCTGTCCCAAAGACAGTGTTTGCAAAGATCAAAGGGCAGTAGGACAGTAGGCCAGAACTGATGCTCTCTCACCGGCTACCAGCCACCCGGCTCAATAAAGCCATGAATTAGACCGGTTCCCTAGGTCAGGCCCTTAGGTAACTCAACCACACAAAGCAAGCGCACACCAACATCAGATGTCAGAACCTGGAGTGCCGGAGCAATGCGGCAGGGGGATGCAGGGCCCGACCTCAGAGGAAAATCACCAGCAGAAGCATGGACACAAAGGGCATTCACTGTCCCCGATTTCAGCACACCCAGACCCACAGCGCGCCCACTGCGCCCCGCACCCCCACCCCGGCCTCCCGCACCGCCCTCCCTCAGCACCCAGGCCAAGTCCACCATCGCTGGCCCCTTCTCCAGCCTGCGAGACTTTTGGAGAGGGCCACTCACCAGGTCTCCCTGCGATTTCCACGGGGGCAGGTGGGAGCAGGCAGGGCCAGGCGCAGAGAGGGACGCACCGGGAAGGCGCTTCCCTGAACCGCAGTGACCAAGCGACAGAGCTGGGATTTGGGAGCAGGGAGGAGACGCGAGCAGGAGGAGAGGAGGGGTTTCTATGGGAGTCCCCTCCTCCCCACTTCCTCCCAGGCTGGAGTGGGAGTTCGAGGGGGCGGCGCTTGGCAGGGGACAGCGCTTCTTTGTGTCGCCTGCCCTGGCGGCTGGGCATTGCTGTGGCTTAGGGAAGCCTGGCGACCCCATCCTGGCAGTGTGGACGGCCGTTTCATTAAAGACATAAACTTCTGTGACTCTACATTAGTAAGGGAAAGGCTGAGCAAACGATGGGACATACATTCTGCTTAGTATTATTAGGTTTTTAGGAAGAGCTTGAATCTCCACTTAGTCGGGGAATATACCGTGATATATTGCCAAGGGAAAAATAAAAATTGTAGAAATTGTTGAATATGCTTTTGTTTTTATAGGAAAAACAAATTGTATCATGGTGGGGAGAAGGGAAGGCTACATCTCTACCGGTTAATATTGTTTAACTTGAGAAATAGGAGAGTTGTAACTTTTTATATAACTCTGCATTGTTTGCAGTTACATGTGTTACTTTCGTAAATTAAAAATAATATACCACCCAGGCGCGGTGGCTCACACCTGTAATCCTAGCACTTTGGGAGACTAAGGTGGGCGGATCACCTGAGTTCTGGGATTTGAGAGCAGCCTGACCAACACGGAGAAACCCCGTCTCTATTAAAAATACAAAACTTAGCCCGGCGTGGTGGCATGTGGCTGTGATCCCAGCTACTCAGGAGACTGAGGCAGGAGAATCGCTTGGACCCGGGAGACGGAGGTCACGGTGAGCCGAGATCATGCACCGCTGCACTCCAGCCCGGGCAACCAGAGCGAAACTCCGTCTCAAAATTGTGTGTGTGTGTGTGTGTGTGTGTGTGTGTGTGCGCGTGCGCGCGCGCGTTTCAAACAATAGTTAGCTAAAATGTATTCTGCGTGCAGTTTAAATCGCATTTCTTTTTCCTTTTTTTTTTTTTTTGAGACGGAGTCTTGCTCTGTCACACATGCTGGAGTGCAATGGCGCGTTCTCGGCTCTCAGCAACCTCTGCCTCCTGAGTTAAAGCAATTCTCCTGCCTCAGCCTCCCAAATAGCTAGGATTACAGGTGCCCGTGATCATGCCTGGCTAATTTTTTGTATTTTTTTTTTATAGACGGAGTTTCACCTTGTTGGCTGGGTGGGTCTCAAACTTCTAATGTCAAGTGATCCACCAGCCTCGACCTCTGAAAGTGTTAGGATTACAGGCAGGAGCCATCGTGCCTGCTCCCCATTTCTTTCCTTTCTGGTATCAGCGGAGAGCTGCTTCCTCTCTTGCGTGTGTGGCCACTTCACCTTTCTCACAGGTGCTGGCTCTAGGATGGGCAATGCAGGTGGTGTCAGGGACCCAGGCTAAGTGGGCTGGATTCAAATCCCAGTGCTACACTTCACCAACGGTGTGACTTTGGGCAAGTTACCTACCTATACAATGGGGATGAGAAAATTAATATCTATACTACGGATTTATTATAAGGCTTAAATTAGGTGATTTCATGCTTGTAAAGTTCTTTTTTTTTTTTTTTTTTTGAGACGGAGTCTTGCTCTGTCGCCAGGCTGGAGTGCAGTGGCGCGATCTTGGCTCACCACAACCTCCTATTCCCGGGTTCAGGCGATTCTCCTGCCTCAGCCTCCCAGATAGTGGGGACTACTGGCGTGTGCCACTACGCCCGGCTAATTTTTCATATTTTTAGTAGAAACAGGGTGTCACCATGTAGCCAGAATGGTTTCAATTTCCTGACTTCGTGATCCGCCCGCCACGGCCTCCCATAGTACCGGGATTACGGGCGTGAGCCACCGCGCCCGGCCGCTTGTAAAGTTCTTGAATCGATGTCTAGTATACGGTAAGACTGGATGCGTGCCTGATAAATATTCAAATCATCCTAAGATTCAATATTTCATGTTTCAAGAAAATGTAACTTTTAATCCTGACTAGGGTTTGAGTACAGACCCAAGCCATACTCCCTTTCCCTATTTCCCTTCAATTTCCTTTCTCCAAACTGAATCATTGAGAACAAGTCACACGGCCACGTAGGTAGGTGAGCTCAGCACCAGGTTTTACGTAAAGGAAATGGAGGGACAGAAATCAAGAGAAGCTGAATTCAGGATCCTGCCAAGTAAAGGGCCACCTGAGACAGTGAACACATCTTTTATTTTCTCCAGTGTTCTCATTTCTCAGCTAAATGAGGCAGGCCGCTGGCCGGTACTCACTAAGTCCCTTCGGGGTCTGCAATGTCAGGACTAACAGCACCGCAAGTTAAAACCTCGTAATACTGAATCTGGTACAATTTTAAATTCAGAACAAAAACGCATATGTTGGTTATGTAAAAATAAGTATTAAAAATAAAGGGCAAAATATGCAAGGGAAAGAATGCAAGCTAACTTACCTCTGAGGATGGGGGCCTGCGACTGGGTGGGGGAAGGGGTTTTAACTCTTTTATTTCTTAGAAAGAAAGGGGTGGGGAGGTGGAGGAAGAGAGAGGGCCCTGAAGCAAAGGTGATAAAATGTCGGCATACAATAAATCTGTCATATTATCTTCTGCGCAGTTCTGAAATACATTTCATAATAAAATACGTTTATAAGGGGCAGATTTGCTGGTTAGGTTCCTGGAGAAGAAATGCAGCATGAAAGAAATGAGACTGGTAGAAGCTGAAACAGAAACAGCAATGGAGAAGGCACAGGAAACCCTCTTTGGAAGACGTCTTCCTCTAGACCCAAAACCCATGGGGACTCAGGCCAAAACCGCGACCACTTTGGCAGGCCATCATGCGCCCCCTTGGCCATGCTCCCCAGGGACCCCGACCCAGACTCAGTGCCTCCTTCCACCACCCGCGCGCCTCAGCGGACTGCATCGGGAACCGCCCTTGAATTGGTCAGTGCGGCCGGGCCTGCTCTGGTCCCAGAAACCATCTTTGGACGAGACTCACCCTTCTGTCCAGCAATTTCCACACCAGGCTACTTCGGAGTGGGGAGTCTTCCACAGAGACGTAGGAAGGCGCTGGGGCAGATGGCTTGGGGGTTTGCAAATTGGTAGTGGGGTGACTGGGAGAAGGCGCGTTGGGGGAGGTGGGCTGCAGTGCAGACGGTGGGGGTGGGGGCGTCCCCGGGAGCTGATTGGATGCCGCGGGTGGGGGTGGAGCTTGGCCGCAGCCCCCGACCGCAGAGGCCCCGCTTTGTGTCAGTTTCTACCCCAAGATGCGGCCCCAGATCCCTGATAGAGGCCCAGGCGCCTGCCCTGCGAGTGCAGCAGGACGATTCGTTTCAAAGCACGTCGTTGAGACTATTGATAAACAAGGGAGCGAAGGATAAATAACGATGGTCTCTCTACAAAATAATATATAACTATTTTCAAGGATGGGTTAAATCTACGTACATGAATCTATTTTATATATTGCCTCTGTCTATGTTGATATATTTAAAATAAACATTTAACATAGTAAAAAAGTTCCACTTTGTATAAAAACAACAACTGTTCATATATACTCATATAAACATAGAAATTATATGGAAGATAAACTATTAGAATCAGTTACTTCAGACAGGAAAGTGGATTATTTCTTTTTTCCTTAATATACCTCATTAACGTTTCAATAGTCACACGTATTATTTTGTAATAAAAATAAATTTAATCAACCAAAAAACTACATAAAATATCCTTGCTCACGCAGCTGGCAGCGACTTCTCTACAAATACGATTTCTCCCTGTGGAAAGGTTTCTGGAGCTTTGTTCCTAGTTCGGACCCATGTTATTTGAGTAGTATGTGACACTTAACCAGGCTTTTTTGCCTGACCAGGTCCTGCACTCACATCTACTCATGTAACCTGCTGAGTTCAACTGTAAAACCTGGAGGAACCACTCATCCCTTTTTATAGCTGGTCCCCAGGGCCCCAGGGACATTTGCGTGGCCCTTGTCCGTCTCTAGCTTCTTCACCCCTCACTGCCCTGGGCCCTATTTGTTGGATACCTAAGGAAGGGTTGTCCCAGAATCAAACGGAAAAGACCATCACCAAACTTTCTCCCCTACTACGAAAGTGTAGTGTCCAGAGTGAACCTTCCAGGGGAAAGTGGCTTCAGTGGTGAAGGGATGGGGTGCGACATCCTGTATAACCTAAGGGTTTCATTTCAACTGCCCCAACTAGTGGAAACATAGGTTAAGAACTGTGTTTTAACCTGTTTTTCCCCTTTCTCTTTCTTTCTTTCATTAAAAAAAAAAAATGAAGAAAGGAGTCTCTTTAGTAGTTAGGAATTCCTTATTAAACTTGAGGGTATAGACAAGATTGGTTCTCCACCTCCAAGCATCAGCAAGGACCCTTTTGTATCTAGACACTTCCCATCTCAAAGTATGTGGGGGGGGGGGGGGAAGAACTGTGTTTTGTTCTTTCTATTCCCTACTTGACCCAGGTTACAAACAGATGCTCTGTAATGTCCACTAGATGAATGGATGGATGAAATGGGGTAAGAAGAAAATCCTTAAGATCATTCCTTAACCAAACAAACAGCAGGCGAACGCAGAAAACGAATCAAACTACAAACTTCCTGTGCTATAAGTTTTTCCTTCCTTCATGCTCTTTTCTTTTAATGCTTCCTCAAATTTTACATTTTTTTTTTTCTTTTCTTGAAATGGGGAGTGGAGCGCAGTGAGACTTCTTGAAACTGCGCTGGGCCGGGCGCGGTGGCTCAAGCCTGTAATCCCAGCAGTTTGGGAGGCCGAGGCGGGTGGATCACGAGGTGGAGATCAAGACCATCTTGGTCAACATGGTGAAACCCCGTCTCTACTAAAAACACACAAAAAAAATAGCTGGGCATGGTGGCGCGTGCCTGTAATCCCAGCTACTCAGGAGGCTGAGGCAAGAAAAATTGCCTGAACCCAGGAGGCGGAGGTTGCGCTGAGCCGAGATCGTGCCATTGCACTCCAGCCTGGGTAACAAGAGCAAAACTCCGTCTCAAAAAAAAAAAAAAAAAAAAAAGAAAGAAAGAAAAGAAAAAGAAACTGCGCTGGAGCGCAGTGGAGCGAGGCTCACTGCAACCTCGACCTCGCGGGCTCA